GAAAACAATGGATTGTGGATCACCACATCAAAAACCAATGATGTATTGTATGGTGACTAACATAACATAATAAAATTAAAAAAAAAAAAAAAAAGCTGGTTCTTTGGAACCCCTGGCTGGCTCAGTCAGTGGAGCATGTGACTCTTGATCTTGGGGTTGTGAGTTTGAGCCCCACGTTTGGTGTAGAGATTACTTAAAAAATACATAAAATCTTTAAGAAACAAGAAAGCTGGTTCTTTGGAAAAGATTAACAAAGGAGGCAAATCATTGACTACCCTAATCAACAAAAACAAAGGAAAGAAAGCTCAACTACCCAAACTGAGAAACAATAAGGAGGAAACAATCACTGGAACAAGGTATGAAAAAAATCAAAAAGGCTACTTTTACTCAACATGATACAGATATGTTTGAAAGAAAAGTAGCAAATAATTTCCTAAGAAAACACACTTTATCAAATTAAACTTGGTAGAGACAAAATGTATATAGAATAATTTCCACATAAGAAACAAAGTATCAAGTTTGCTTGAGCCATAAAATAAAGCATTTCTGTGCTTTTCACAATTGTTAAATTTTTCCCATACTTGCTTTATCTTTCTCTATATAAAGTCTTCTTGACCATTAACTATGTGGGTTAAATGCAAACATCATGACCTGTTATTTCAAATGTATCAGCATGTATCTCCTATGAGTAAAGGCATGATCACACTCAAGAAAACTGTACACTGATACTATACTATCCATCATACAGTCCGCTCAAGAAGAACAGTATCTTTGAAAATATCTATGTGCTTTTCAACTATACAAATCCCCTTCCTTCACTGCAAAATCCTCCACCATTAGGGGGTATAGCTATCATGAAAATGGGTTTAATCAAAATTGTCTTCTTTAAAGATTTTCCACATAGGTTCTGAAATCTGTTAATGTATCTCTGAGGTATGCCTGTAATATCTTTGTCTAGTTTTGGTATTAGCAAAATGCTGGCCTCAGAGACTGAATTAGTTAGTATAATCTTCTCCTGGATTTTCTGGAAGAGTTTGGTAAAGCTGGTATTATTCCATGTGTGGCAGAACTCACTAATGAAGTCCCTGTACTTGGGGTTTCTTCATGGAGTGGTTATCTATTTCTCCTGAAGTGAGCTTGGATAGCTGCTGAAGGAAATTGTCCATTTTATCTAAATGGTTGAATTTATAAACCAGAGGCAAAACATTTCCTTATTTTCCTTGTAATATCTGTAGAATCTTTGGTGATATTGCCACTGCTATACTTTTTTTTTTTTTTCTAAGATTTTATTTATTTTTTGACAGAGAGACAGCAAGAGAGGGAACACAAGCAGGGGGAGTGGGAAACGGAGAAGCAGGCTTCCCGATGCGGGGCTCAATCCCAGGACCCCGGGATCACAACCTGAGCCGAAGGCAGACGCTTAACTACTGAGCCACCCAGGCGTGCCACCACTGCTATTCTTTTTTTTTTTTTTTTT